TTTGGTAGGTGGACACTGTAGGCCTGGGCAAGTAGCTGCTCTTCAAAAGTGACGAGTTAGGGAAAAACCCTCCTTCAGAATTCATTCGTCATTTTTTCGCTTCTTGGTGAGACTAGAGAGGAGCTTCTTTCAGCACTGCTCAAGGAGAGAGAGAGTGCAGCCATAGCCAGTGAGAACTTGCTGTTCACTGGACGTTTTTTCAAGCCGATTGTTGCATAATGCTCAAGGAGGCCAGGCCTTCAATCATCCATCACCTTTTTCTGGTTTCCTCAACTATTTTGTATGTGACTATTCAATTCCGATTTTCTGTGCAGTTGAAGTCCAGTGTGATCTCATCTCAATCAAGTGTGTAAGCGAGATGATGAGTGGAAGTGCTTGAGATTTCGGAAATTCGTAATAGGTACCCCAAAGAAAGCAAACGTGAAGTTGTGAACACAATTAAGAAAGGGGTTTACATGCCTCTATTATACTCCCATGTTGCTTGCTATAGAGGTGAAACTGTTTCATAGTTGGATTGTCTCAACTCAAGGGCTTTCGTTGGCAGGAGTATGTTACATCTTCGATGCCACACGGGTCCTACCGGACCCGACGTAGAGGTAGAGGGACACAGTAGGGCCAAAGGCCCGACCTTGGGGGGTACTACAGGCCGTAAAGGCCTTACCTTGGACCAGACCCGACGGGCCGGCCCAAACGATATTACCGTTTGGGCCTGGCGGCGCTCTTTGAGGCTGCCGCCCGCCGGTTGGAGCTGAACCGTCCATCTGGACGGTTCAGGGCACGGTCAAGCCTCGCAGCATAGAGGCCGACCTCTGCCCACCGGTACAAAAGTACCGGTCCAGCCTCAGTGAGGCTATCGACCTACCGGCATTCTACCGGCATGGTATGTTACAGCGCGATACAGCGCTGGCGCTAAGTTTAGCGCAGGAGCAGCGAGGAGCAGCAGCGCAGCATTAGCGCAGCAGCAGCGAGCGAGCAGCAGCAGCGGCGACTGAGTGTACCGGCGGCCATCGCCGCCTGAGGTATCGGGAGTTGGAGGCCTCTCTCCTCCCTCCCCTCGCCAGTCCCCTCTCTCTCTCTCTCTCCTCCTCGGCTCCTTCTTCTTCTTCTTCTTCTTCTTCTTCTTCTTCTTCTTCTTCTTCTTCTTCTTCTTCTCTTCAGACATCATCTTCTTCTTCTTCTTCTTCTTCAGATTGGAGACTTATACTAGTGGACAGAGATCAGTGTTGGACTTTGGTGGTATGAGACTGTGGTACTTACCAGATTGGAGACTTGGAGATTGTTGGGGTTGATACTTGGCGGCATCACAGTTCGGACACCGGTTACATTTTGACTCTGTATCTCCGACATTGGTGACTGATTGTCCTCGACATTTTGATCTTGTTGGATGACATTTTGGACTACCATATCGGTGACCTATCGGATTCTATCTCGGTGACCTAAATCAATCTTCCAAATCAGCGCTGAATTACTATCGAGTTCAAAGTTGCAATTTTTTTTTTTTTTTTCGGTATTCTGTTTATTTCGGCATTTCCGTTTCAATTCAGTATTCAGAATTATTATTCGGATTTCTGTTTTACGCCGGTATGCTGTTTAATTAGGATCCGATAAGTTGATACTAATCCAACATTCTGTTTGATTCGGATTTCTGGTTAGTAATTCGTGATTAGGGTTAAATCAGCTTTCTGTTGATTTCGGTATTCTGATTTCTTTCGGTATTCCGTTTTTATTTCGGCATTCTGATTTTTAATCCGGTATTTCGTTTTACAAATCGGCATTTCCGTTTTATCGCAGTAGTGGAAATTAGGGTTACGAAATCTTTTGGTTTTAGATCAACTTGGGGAATTCGAACGTTTTGGGAACTGTAAATCCGGAACTTCCGCCGAAACGCGGAAAATTAGGGTTGGGACCGAAATTTTCGCGAATTTTTTTTTCGTTCCCCTTGTTTGAGAAATTCCGAAAACAGGTTTAGGCCTTTAAAAATCGGATTTTGACGGTGGAAATTCCCGAAAATTCACGTTTTTGAAAATTCGAGTGTTTTTCCCCTAACTTTTTCCGAAATTTTTTTTGGGCAAACTAATCCGAAGCTAACCCTCAAAGTTGCAACTTCCGGGTAGTTCACTCATTGACGGTGAATTCCCGGACCGTATTTGATCTCAAAGGGACCTAATCTTGATACAATTCAAATTCGTTCATTACCATTATTGCAAATATTGCTTATTGATTATATGTATTGCAAATATTGGTTCTTGATTATCTTTATTACAAACATTGTTTTATCGATTATCATTAGGAATTATTCTTTCGTATTAATCATTAATTAAATTATTGATTAAATAATTCGTTACTATTCTTCTTATTACGAATTTTCGAATTGTTTACGGAAAATTTATTTTCTGTTTGATTAGGTGTCTTAGTCCATCCTTGGGACAGGGACTGTATGTTGATTGCTTGATCTGTTCTATCCCTGTACCCACCCTCTCCCTCACACTGTTCTGCGATCCTTCGGGCGAGCCAGTCTTCAGCAACAGTTTCTGATGCCAGCAGGGCCAGCCTCCGAACAGCAGCCACGACGCAGCAAGAGGATCGCCGATCACCAACAGCGACAGCAACCTCCAGTTCCGCAACCGCCACAGACCAGTACTCAGATGGCGAACACGCCACACAGCGGATCATCATCCGAGGGTTCGACAGCTAGTAATGCCGAACCCTTACCGGTCTGTCCGGTGCGAGGGTCGAATGAGCCCCTCCCGGACTTCATTCAGAGAATGCAGGACTATACAGCCGCACTCACCCAGGTCAAGGAACAGCAAGAGGCTGCCGCGGCCGAAAGACTACGGCTAGCAGAGGAAGCTGCAGCACAAAAGCCGAGGCAGACCAGTTGGCGATCGATCAGCTTAACGCCGACAGCGCTGAAGTTGTAAGCGCTCACCAAGCACAATGGACAGCGGTGCTCAACGGGATGCGTTATGTCCCGGCACCCGGCAGCGAGCCGACAACAGTACAGCAAGAGAGGCACGACCTGGCAGATATTCTACTCCATACAATGCGCGCCGTCATTTGGAACAGCTCCATGGGGGGGCTGCATTCCCGGTCCACACTGCAGCTGCAGCACGATCTGAGCCACAACGTGAAGATACTTGCAGCAGCTGTCAAGGTCGCGGAAAGCCAGTTGAAACAGCTGGATGCACGCATTGCTACCTTGGAGGCAAGGCCTCCCCAAGCAGCGCCAGGCTGCACGCCAGATATGACAGACACAACGAAGCAGCTCAATGGGCGCATCGATCATGTCGTCAATCTCATCAGCGACATAGTGTTTTCAATGGGCCGGACACGATCAGTAGCACGGTGGCCGCCATCAAGACGGACATCACCAAGCTGCAGACGAAACCGGACGCCACTACGAACTACAAGATCCGCACTTCGACATCAGCAAGTTCGACGACCACAACAAGACGGACGCTTTGGCATGGTGGCAACGTTTCCTCACGGAAGCATCATGCCGCACTGTCCCAGATGACTATCTGATGAAGGCGTTATACTTACAACTGATTGGAGGAGCGCAGGCATGGATGAACCATCTGGCGGCTACCCACACATGCACCATCGCCGAACTTCACACACACATCACGTGGAAGGAATTCGAGCAGCTATGGTTCACCCGTTTCATGGTCCGCAACGTCGTGAAGGCGGCCATGAACGAGGTGTACACCTGCTCTCAAGGAAGTATGCCAACTCGAGACTGGACAACCAAGTGGCAGAAGATAGTGACCACGCCAGGCTTCGATTTGACTTTTCCTAATCAACAATCCGAGTTCTTCTCGCGATYGTGCGCAGGATTGCGGTCGGCACTCGGTAACGAGTACGACTATACCTCGTTCYASGCTATCCTGGATCGCGCAAACCTGGTCATCCAAACGGACGACAAGGCCGCTAACGAGAAACAATCCCAGCCGCATTATGTGGCTAAGCATGGCTATCAACGTCCGRCACATAACAATGCCGTGATTTCGGAAGAARCAGACGATCTCCACGCTGCAGCAGCATCCTCGAGTGATGGAGGAATTGTCGCAGCGCTCCCGCCGAAGCGTCCCAAGAGGGTCCGGAAACCCAAGGCGACACAAGAGACGGCATCAACGGGAACTGGGCAGCAGCCATGGACGGCCTTCAACATCACCAAGGAAGTCTATGAAGTTCGTCAAAAGTATAGATATTGCCTTTGGTGCAATGGAGTCACACACTTGACTGCACAATGCCCCGAAAAGGGCAAGGCACACGTACTCCGTCCAGCAAACTCGGGAAACTGAGTTACGCAAGGAGAGGGGCGACGTCTCTCCTCACTCCGCCGGCACCGGTTGCCTTGCTAGCAATCGATGTCACTACCGGGGAGCATGCATTAGTCGCTGATTCTCGTGCTACGTACGAGGATTATGCCGCCCAGCTGGTACCACCATTAGACCAGCCAAGCCACGTGCATTTAGCTAGCGTATGCGCAGCCTGTACACCGTCGGCAAGTGATCCGGACAGTTCGCCACTGATTTCCGACGACTCGACGGCGTGGTCAAGACTTGAGGAGCTTGACCCGCTCACGAGAGAGGACTTCGCTTGGATGCCTCTACCCTCGACCGGAACCTTGCCAAGGCCGCATTGCAACGCCTTGATGGCAGATTTACGCTCTTATTTGCACACTACAGTACCAACTCCGTTGGCGGACAACGGGGTAGCGGTTGTCGATCTCCGCTCCTATCTTGTGAAGATTGACCGCAAGTACACCACCCAAAGGTACGCCGAAACCGACGCGCTTTTGCTCTATATCCGCATTCAAATTGGAAAGGCAACTTGTAGTGCCTTGATTGATTGCGGAGCGTCTTGCAACTTTATGAACCAAGCCTTTATGGCCCGCGCAGGCCACACAAGTCACACTCGCGGACGGCCGCACGCAAAAGTCAATTGACCGATGCGTCGACGGCGTTCCGGTATACTTTGCGCCACTTGCGTGCGAGCCGGTGTCTTTTGACATCCTCGACACCAAGTTCAACATGATTCTAGGCATGTCAAGGTTGCATAGCGCTGATCATCCGGTGAACTTTCATGACCGAACCGTTCACATCCGTGATCGGAACAGGGTGTTAGTCCCATGTACGGTCGCGACCCCTCACACTTCGATTGCTTGTCACGTGGTTCCGTTGCGAGAATTCGTGACGCCATTGCTCGGAATGACGTCGAGGAGATGGGCCTTGTATTCTTGCATGCTCTCCCCTCGCCGGACGGACCAGCCGCGTCACCGCCGGACCCACGCATTTCTCACCTCTTGGACGAGTATAGAGACGTCTTCGAGGCTCCCACCGGAACRGTTCCGGATTGGCCCATACGTCACGGGATCACTCTCGAGGCTGGCGCCGTCCCTCCGCGTGGATGTATCTACCGCATGAGCGAAGAGGAACTCGAGGTGCTTTGCGCACGACTCGATGACCTTCTCAACAAGGGCTGGATTCGCCCTAGTTGCTCGCCATACGGTGCCCCTGTTGTCTTCGTCCGGAAGAAGAACAAAGATCTACGGCTATGCATCGATTATCGGAAACTTAACGCACAAACCGTAAAGAACGCTGGCCCTCTCCCTCGGATTGATGATCTTCTTGAGCGGTTAGGCGGCGCGACGTACTTCTCGAAGTTGGACTTGAAGTCAGGTTACCACCAGATTGAAATCCAGCCTCACGACCGGTACAAGACCGCGTTCAAGACGCGGTACGGGCATTTTGAGTGGGTTGTCATGCCCTTTGGCCTCACCAATGCCCCCGTGACTTTCCAAGCAGCGATGACGACTGAGTTTCGCGACTTGCTCGATCGCAGCGTCCTCATCTACCTTGATGACATCTTGGTTTACAGTAGGACGTTGGACGAGCACATCATACACCTTCGCGTTGTTCTGGATCGTTTGCGACTAGCCAAGTACAAAGCGAATCTCGACAAGTGCGAATTCGCCAAGCAAGAGCTTGAGTACTTGAGTCATTTTGTCACGCCGAAAGGCATTCGTCCCTTAGCGGACAAGATCCAAGCCATCGTGGATTGGTCGGAACCCCGTTGTACGACGGATATACGCTCTTTCATGGGTTTGGCTGGATACTATCAGCGATTCGTCGAGTCCTACTCGAAAGTGGCCGCTCCTTTGTCGAGACTCCAGTCCCCGAAGGTGCCCTTCGAGTTCGACGACGCAGCCCGTGACGCGTTCGCTACGTTGAAGGCAGCAATGCAAGCCGCACCTGCCCTCCGTATATATGACCCCACCCTTCCCACCCAAGTGACTACGGACGCTTCGGGGTACGGTATTGGTGCGGTGTTGGAACAGTGTCACGAGGACGGTTGACATCCGGTCGAGTACTTCTCCCAAAAGGTGCCTCTCGTAAACACTCTCGACGACGCTAGGAAGAAAGAGCTACTCGCGTTCGTCACCGTTCTCAA